GTGAGCAGCGGTGTGTCGCTTCCGGGTTTGGGAACAAACACAACCGTCCGTTCCGGGATGACGTCTCCCTTTGGAGCGGCCGGCGGTAGCACCACCAATACTTCCCCCTTCTCCCCCTTGGCTGGCCAAACACCTACTGGTACGGTGCCGACAATACCCCCTTCATCGTGGCCGCCGACACCGGAACAAACAATTGCACAGAACCTCGAATATATAGAGGCTCTCCGTCGGGGACAAAATGCAACTGGTTTACCAAGTTTTCCGCGCCGCGACGAAGCAGCAGCCAGACGTCGCGCATTACAAGATAGTCTTCGCGAAATGGAGCAAGAAGAGCCCGGATTGTTCCCTGGGGATGCTGGACAACAATTGCCTACCGCAACACCTGAGCAACCATTGCCTACCGTCCTCACTCAACCTGCCACATTCACCCAGCAGAGATTACCTGAAAACAGTCTCGTTTACCTTCTCCGAGATCCATCTGGGCGACCACATTCTCTGCTTGTCGGACCCCCTGGTAGTGCACTTCAGAATCCCTCAGTCTATCCGGACCTCCACTACCGTCGTCTTCACAATGTCTTCAATGCCTATGGTTTACCTCACTATCCTCCCATTCCTCCAATGCCCCAGATGAACCCCGGCGTTCGATTAGGCCCAGCACCGCCCCCAGCACCACCCAATATCGCGCCTGCAGTTCCAGTTGGGCAGCAACTGGAAGCGCTTCGCCGCGAGCTTCTCGCCATGAACCCTAACGCCCAAATCCGCCAATATAATATTCCACGCCTGGTGCGCGTCCCGGCTGGACACCTATGGCTCGCACTGAAATTGGCAGTGTTTGTGATTCTCTTCACCGGCAACGGCGGATGGCAGAGGATGCTATCCCTGGGCTTCATTGCAGTCCTGATCTTCATCTGGCAAACGGGTCTGCTGAATCAAATTACCCGCCCACTCATAGAGGCTTTCTACCCGACCCCACCACCAGGATTCCAACAGCAACCCGTTGTCCCCCAGCAACAGCAGCAGCAACCGCTGAATCCAGCACACACAGCGCAAATGCTCGTAAACCGCCAGGAAGATCGTCTGCGTGAGGTTATTAGAAATGCTGAGAGAGCATTTATGATCTTCATGGCAAGCTTAGTGCCGGGATGGCACGATCGCCATGTCAATGCGATAGAGAGGCAGCAGCAGCAGGCAAGGGAGGCGGCACAGCAGCAACAACAGCAACAGCAGCAGCAACAACAACATGCAGAGGAAGATCAGCCGCAGCCGGCTGAGGCGAGAGGTGCGGAGGTGGTTGAAGGCGTTTTATAGACTAGTAAGGCTTTTTTTTTGCTTTTTCGGCTTTCTGGGATGCCGTCTGGCTACTACTTGTTTATTATGGGTTCTTTTTAGTGTGTATTGCTTTGGTTCATGATCGTGAGATATCCCCTTATTCTTATTCTTTTGCGCAATCGAGGGCTAGTATATTTGGTTTAGTGTTATGATACTACTCTAGAGGCTGTCTCATGTTTGAGTACCCTTATTCTGTATTCAGCTTCCATGCTGCAACCTTGTGATATTAACACCTAAATTAATGTATAAATACATTCCTGTCCCAAATCACCAAACTATTCTACCAAACCGCAACGCCCCATTTGAACAAGATCACGAAATATCCCTCTATGCATACCTATTAAAAGCTCTTTTGGAAAACAAAGCTCACCTCATCCTCCTTTCCTTGCTCAACCAGTACCTTCATGAGCACCTCATCCTCAATGCTAGCCTCTCTATACTCCTCTCCCAAGTCACTCGCCCAATTATCCTCCTTCGGCTGCTGCAGCAGTCTCGTAGCAACATGTTCATATTCCATCAATGCGCCCAACGATCCTGAACCGGTGTTGTCTTTCATACTCTTACCACTGATGATATCCTCACTTACTGCCGACGCCTTCATCAATCCGGGAAACTCTGGTAAACGATCCTCGTCATCATCGCTATCTACGATGGCGGGAACAATCGATTCGGCGATGTACCCTTTCCCCTCGCAAGCACAAGCCAACAGATCATGGGTCTGACATTCTGTGTTTTCATCGAGCGAGAATAAATCTCTCAGTTCCTTCTGGGTGAACGCCGATGACCCAGCTTTATTATCCATCACCGAGTCTGCCAGGCCCTGCTTCGTGATCTGTCGCTGGAAGATCTTCTCGTCGAAACATCCGGTGGTTAACATTCTATAGATCATAACCGATCTTTTCTGGCCGTCCCTGTGGATTCTTGCCATTGCCTGTGCATCTGTTGCCGGATTCCAGTCTAGGTCGAAAAGAACTAGACGGGAGGCGCCAATAAGGTTTATACCTGCTCCTCCGGACTTGGCAGAGAGGAGGAAGGCAAATGCAACTTTGGAGTCGACTCGGTTGAATTTGTCAACCAAGCTTTGGCGTTTATCGGTTGGGGTAGAGCCGTCGAGACGGAGCCACGATAGGCCCAGACTTATGAGGAGATTCTGCAGCACATCGAGGGTGCTAGTGTAGTTTGAGACAATAACGATTTTCTCGTCCGTGTGTGCGCTTAGCATACCCAGTAGTCTATTCAGGACTCTGAGTTTTCCACTCGAAGAGGCGCTTTTGGATGCTAAAAGTCTTGGGTTTACTTCCGATAGCAGGGCTTGGACGTTGTCACTTTGTTCTTTGCCTTGTTCGGACGTGAGGAGCCCGGGTGTATTACACACTTTCTTGAGAACAGTGATCAGTAGCAAGGAAGCGTCTGGACTACCGAGACACTTGTTGAAGGCGGATGAATCTAGGATACTGCGATATACCTCTCGTTGCTTGGACGTGGGACGACAATAAATCACATATTCCTCTGATCACACGTCAGCGGTGTATATGTCATTCAATGTTTCCGGGTGGACAAACTTTTGGGTGGAAGATATGCAGAGAGAATATCTGCCGTTCTGCGGAGGACAAACATGGCGGTGATTCTCGCTAACTCATCGCTACGACCCTTGCCTTTCTCAATATCCTTTTTCGATACTCCTGGTTGGCGGCTTTTCAAGATGGGATTTTCAAATTCCTTTCTAAATGTTGCATAGCTCTCCAATAAACTAGGGTTGACAAAGTCCCTGCCGTTTAACTGGTGTCAGATGTACCATGAGATGAGGGTTAATTAAGGGAGAAACACTGACACCATAATAAAGAATTCGTGAAGGTCATTTTGTAAGGGTGTACCGCTGAGAATAATCCTTCGAGGAGTGTTTAATGCTCTAATGGCCCGTGCTGCTTTGTTTTTCTCTGTCTTGAGACGGTGTCCTTCATCTGCAATCACGATATCAATATTCGCTTTCTTGAGTTCGGTATGTACTTTTTGAAGCTGAAAGGGTGTTAGTAATACCATTCCACGGGAATGATGCACAGACTTTTTCATATCCAATTACCAGAACCGAATACGTTTTGCCGGCAATGAAATCCCGCAAATTGGTCTTAGAATCGACCACAAGGACGCCTATACGCTCATTTCCCAGCCATTTCCTAAACTCTTTCCTCCAGTTGTTGATGAGAGTTACCGGACAAACGATCAGGGCCTTTTTAACTACGGGAAGATCCCCATAAATGGGATTTTGCTCTGAGGAGCATTAGCACCGTTCATGATCAGTGCGACCAGGGGATGTACTCATCAAAGTCCAGAGAAGAGTACTTATGGCAAGTCAGATCACATCCCATCAGAAATAGAGCCAGGGAATATTACATCGTTTGTAGGGTCTTTCCCAATCCCATCTCGTCTGCAAGAATCGATCCTCGGCCCTCAAATGGTCTCATACCCATCACGCACTGATACAGAAACTCCACGCCCTCTCGCTGATGCGGTCTCAGATGCTGTGAAAGGTATGGATCTACAACTACATCGACCACCTTCTTTCCCCTGCCTCTAATCAGCTGTGACTCGAGCTTAGAACCACCGACAGATGAACCAACACTGGAATTGCTTTAGCACTTAGCCTCGGCATTACCAAAGAATTCTCAGCCTTCGGATCATGTCTAGGTGTAGGAGCCTTCGAATCCCCCTTAGGGAGAACAGTAGACGACAACAATGGAGTTTTGAAGCCCTTGGTACCTCCAGTCATAGCTACTGGGACAGCCGGAACCACCGGATCTGCATTGCTGGCACGTAAAAAAGGTCGTCCGGCAAGATAGTCTGTTTTGATAGTATCGAGTCTATTTCTACTTCCTTCCTTCCTAAAGATACGATGTCTCCAAGTTCAAGTTTCTTGTTAAGAATTGACCGCCCTAGGTCTTTACCGCTGGAATCTTGCAGGGTTGCGTAACCGCCCGCGACGGCAAGGACACCATCCCCATCAAAAGTCTTGTGTTTCTTGGTGGTCTTCTTCCGCCTGTAAATGAAATATTAGACTGGAGGTTCTAGTTATCAATGGCTGGAGTGCGGAGGAGTACCAGAGAACGTTGTAGTAACTTTCTGCACCACCCACACTATCTTGGGCAGACACCGAACCGGAGTAGGAGTAGATTCTGGCTTTCTAGTTGCAGCATTTTTGAGTGAAAGCAATGGTTTCCGCTTCGGAGCAAGTAGTGTTGGTCTTCTTGTAATAGATGGCATGGAGGATACTGAATTTGTGCCATCGTCAGTAGCATCAAGCTTTAGTTTCTTCGCCGGAGGCTCGTCTGCGTTTGTTGTTAATTGCCTGCTCAGGAGGGGAGGAACGAATTTCTTCATTGTGGCGGCGAGAAGGATTGTTCGAATGCCTGGTGATGGACGAAATGGAGGTTGAGTGGGAAGACGTGACGCGCAACAATAGTGTGGCACTAGCCTAACCGCTTTTTCGAATAACACGCGACAAGACTGAGCAACGAGTGAGAACATACGACCTGTAGAGTAGTTCAGCTAATACTTCTTATATTCAAATTCGTAGCCCTCCCCCCTCCATTGATACAGTGCAGCAAAAAACGATCCAGATCCACACACAGTACATGTCTACTAAGTACTATATAAAAAACGTAAAAATGATACGATGATTTCACCCACGCTCGATCTGGGTACCTTTGTGTCCAGTTAAAAACTGTTAGACAAATATGATAACCAACTACACCATGAAACCCAATATTTCGTATGATTCTGCCTCATCGAGTATTTGTACTGTTAAACTTTGTTTCCCACCGACGGCTCCGTAGTCGTTAAACTCGCAGTGGGTAAGGTCAAGGTAGGCGTATGTACGACGTTTGAGCATGATAGGACATCACGGATGTACGATGAGATGTAATTACGTATACCAGGTAATGTTTGGGAGATGAGTCGAGATCAGAGGCAATGGAGAGGATTAATGGATCAGAGAACGACTTGTATGGAAAGGCTTAGGAGGTGTATGTATTGTGTGTTTGGACATAAGCAACGGTGTTCAATTGCGATTGCTATGCATATCGAGTCATGATATCTTACGGTAACCCAAAATTTCCTTCTTCACACGCGCTTCTCCGCGCCAAAATACTTTTTAGGGGGAAAGCCGAGTGGGATGAAAGGGATATGTCGGAAGTCCGGTGAAACCGTGCGTGTTGTTGGTGTTTTACCACAAGAAACGGCGGATCTCGAGAGCTCTCACATAACATACGCAATGGCAAACCCAAGGAACCGGGCTGACTAGTGGCGTGTAATTATTTCAGGACTTCGTTGGTGGCGGAGTGGGGATGGGCGGTGAACACCTCCCCGATCACCGAGTGCGTATTTATGACCCCGATGTAAGTCAACCGAGTCGCTAGGTTGCAGTATGGCGTGTAGGCACTACGGAGATACGGAGAGAGAGACGGTTGTTGTTGATCAATTACAACAGGGTGTGTTTTTATCAGCCTCACAGGTAGGGTACCTACACAAGGTTATGAATGTACTAGTACAGCCTACTTTCTCCGATACCACAACACCAAGCAATGCACGTCTCGGAAAAACTTGATGAATTTTGAAGATTCTATGCCCGCCAACCTATCAAGACTATAACAAGGCATGTCGCACAATAAAAAAAATTTGCTCAAGGCTGAAGATGTGTGGGGGGTTCCCATCCTGCATTGAACTTACAACATTCCAGAGTGGCCAGTAGACACACCATTGAGGATCATTCGCTGATTGATACAGTTCTATAAGAGAAAATCGTTTAGTATGTAAACACGGATGGAAATTTTATGTGTGACGAATTATTCGAACAGCCGTGGGATGAAGAGCGTTCTTTGAATGTCTGTCTTGCGACAAGATGAGTCGCTCGTGAAGTGTAGAATGATATTGCCAAGCATGATGTGCTACACACAACTCTGACCATAACTCTAGGTCGCACAAACCACAAAAAAATACTGGTCAAGGCTGCTCTGCTTTGTGTGGGGGTTTCCCATTCAAGAAAAGAAAAACAAAAAGTTGCACTTGCAACATTCCGGAGGGTTGGGGATGGATGATCGGCGATTTGCATTCGGCCCATAGGTTCCGCACGTGATGTTGAGGTGGCTGCGGAACAAAAAGCAAAAGCAGGGAAAGCAACATCGCATATGCAGAGGAAACTTCAGAGGAAGGGCACTGGTTTCCGATCCCTGCGATAGACACCATGTTCGATCGATTAAAGGGCCTAAACTTGAATGAATGGGAAAAGGAAAACCCAAACCCAGGTTGATTAATATGATCAGGTCGAATCGAGCGGACAGTATAACGAGGAATATAGATGTCATTTCTGTTGTTCAATAGTTGTATGTATTATACTGGACACCTCACGCCCCAGTGATATGATGGGTCGGTCGTAATGGGAATTATCTGCCTGGATGTGAATACATATCATCGATAAGGGAGGCACCTCGAGGGCTGAAAAAGCTAGGCGGTCAGTACGTACAGGTGTATCCAACGGCGTTGGGGCGGCATGGCTATAGTGGACTAATTGATGATGATGGGACAACATGCTAACAAGAACAACAGCAACAACAAGCACCGGTTGGATCTCAATATCAACGGACGGACCCATACATTTGTCGCGGTAAGATCTCACATGGGGGAGGATCGGAATGTGGACCATCACCGCATCGCGCCGCATCCCCGCCGCGCGATTATTCTCGGCCGTTATTGCGCTAAGTTGCTGGCTGGCTCCCGGGGGTGAATAATTACTACTTGGACGGTACATATTGTCGGAAGTCTCCAAGCATACACGAAGCGGAGGCCCGGTTGGTTCTTTTCCGCAGAGCATGTAGGCTGTATCATATCAACGCATATCAGCATGACTTTTTTTCAAGAGGTTTCCCCAAGCATTGGGGCAAGTTCTTTGGATAAACCAATATCATTTTAACTGATCTCTTGGCTCCATAGTTTTTTTTCGTATGTATGCGGTTGATGAAGGGCGCTCAGTGCGCAGGTTGGTTGGTTGTTGTTGATCCCAAAGTCCCCTCCAACAACGTGTCAGGGTTTGTTGTTGCATTACGGGTCTTTATACCCTATCACCAAATCGGAACATTCCGACGCGAAAGAAGTTTTACCGCTGGGTGAGTGGCCATGGTTGTTGAGTTGTTTTGGAAGTTCATGCCTACCAGAGTTTTTGATAGGCCTTGCTTGCCAAGAGTACTCCTCGTACTCGTACACCCACAGAGCTTTCTCGTCCATTAGGAGTTGTTCCACCAGCTTTGGTGTCACCAACACATCAACGGGTTGAGACGTGATGGAAAAAGATCCAGACTTTTGTCAAACCCAATCCATGATCCATCCCATACATCCCTGTGGGTTGTGCTATGATGTATGATATTCCCGGATCTCACTTGCAGTAGGTACATCCGGGTTGTTGTTGACAATATTTGAAGGAGTTATAGTTTTGCGGTCCGTAAGTATTTTTTTCCCATTCGGAAGGAAGGAAGTGAGAGAAGAAAGGCTCTCCGGTGGGTTACAATACACCCACACACATATTGACCTTTTGGGAAGCAGTTATCTACTTGATACTCGGTATCAGAAGCCGGAGATTTTTCCTCGTGCCTCCCCCTCCCCACTCCTCCCCCCAGCTGGAGAACTTACCGGTAAAACGGACGGTGGAAGTCACGGCAGCTTACATCCACCTCCCAGGAACGGAAGATTCCGAGAAAAATAAAGAGCGCTTAGAGAAAAAATGCTTGGATTTATTGTCAGTTACGCTATACACTAAGCAGGCCGGCACAGACTGCGCGCCGCGGAGCAGGGCTAGCGGGCTGGCGATAATGAGGCACTTACGGAAATCGACGATCATGAGCAGGAGATACAAAGATGGTAGACATATACGATCCGAGAGGGCCTGCAATGCAGCCAGCAGCAGCAGCATAGGTAGATAACTACTTTAAGTACCAGGTACCTATCGCAATATCATAACTTTGAACCTGCAGTAGGGGAAAGAAAAAAGTGCCTACCAGGATCGAAACTGTGTAGGTTGTGCGCTTCTGCTCATATGTGGCCTCAAGCTGTAACGTTTCCGAACGCTCCGGACGATCATGCACGTTTTAGCGGCATAAAAAAAAAGATGATGGCTCACCCCTCCAAACCTAAAGTGGATTGAGAGAGATTGATTAAGTTTGGGACTGATTCATGCCACGCAGTTCCAATTGATTTTCCCCATCTCCTATTCTCTTAGGCCCCCTGTTCTCCGAACACATCGATCGAAGTGAAGAATGGGGGAACGAATGAAACAAACTTCCGGAACGGTACACATCTGTTCGTCGCCGCCAGTAGATTGCCGCAAGACAAGAACACGAGACTTCGAGTGCATAGGGAAGGGAAGGGAAGGGCATAAGCACAATATCGATGGTGGGTGGTTGTGGGTGGTGGAGGAGGTGATGGTGATGGTGATGGTGGTGATGGTGGTGATGGTGATGGTGATAGTGACGGTGGCTACGCCAGGATGGGGCGACATGTACTTTAGGTTGCCGCTGGTGTGGTTGTGGTTGACCAGAGCGCCCGGCAGCACCGGCTCGCTCGGTTGTCGGGACACTGAAATGCAGATACAACTTATCTTTGCCTTGTTCTCCATGGAAGGGGTGAAAAATAAATTGACGTTTATTTGGGACCAGCTGCATGATATCTGCAATTCCATTCACAGGCAAAATGGTGGCATAAACCATGCACCCGCATCTTTTGATACATGTTACATGTACTCCAGACGTGAAGTAAGGTACTTTACTCGTAGGCAGATCTGAGTGAATAACGGAGTTCGGATCCGAGGAACCTTGCTTGCTTTGCCTTGCCCTGCATCAGAGCCGAACGAGCAACGCGGGAGGGAGGATCCGGGAAAGCGAGAGAGGGTCGAAACGAGACGAGACGAAGAGATGGGGAGAGAGCGAGTCAGCCCCAGCAGGAAGAAAATTAAAAGAAAGAAAGAGAAGAGCCGAGAGAATAGCCCCAACGGTGAGTCCCAGTCAGCCAGCCAGCCAGCAATCACATCAGCCATATCTAAAGTTACTTGCCCATGAATGTATCAGTGAATGGATAGATGGTGTGGTCCACCAACCCAATCCAATCCAACCCAATCCAACCACACTCTGCTCATCGAAAGTGCCTCTGTACGCCGTAGCCCTATTGATGCACATCGTCTCCCCCTTCAACGCCAATCGGAGCTGCACAACGAAACGTCCTTGTGCAGCAGCAACAAGTGCGTGAACCGTCGCACCACTCTTTCGGCTGGTTCCAAGTGAAGGTGTCTAGGCCAGACTGCGTTAAGGCGGCCTTTAGCTTTATAACCCAAATAACGTTTTCTCTCTGGGTCAGTCTCGTCTGTTTTGCCGTGCTGGCGTGAGAGCCGTGCTTCTCACTAAAGCTGCACACCGCCCACCCCCCCCGGACATCCCCCATTCCTCATTGGCAATTGGCAATCGGCATCATCATCATCACCACCCACCCGCTCATCCTACAGCCTACAGTGGCTAGACTACCTCTCATTTCATCCTCCGCAGCATAACGTAGTCTCCTGCCCAACTTTTTTGTCTTCAACTTCAATCTCTCGCTACCTACTCCCCTTTCTTTCTCTTCCTCCTCCTCCTCCTCCTCCTCCTCGTCCTTGTCATCCTCCTCCTCCATCACGCCTCCGCTTTTCGTCTCCCCCGAATACATTGAGCTCATCGCTTCGGCAGTGTA